TTATTATATATATCTCTCTCTCTCTCTCTCTCTCTCTCTCTCTCTCTCTCTCTCTCTCTCTCTGATATAAATACAAATTGGAATAAAAACGTACGAGAAAATTTCAACACGTCTCCATGGTTAATATATATCTCTTCCACTATGGCGTTCATGTAATCGTTCAATAGAGAGAAGAAACCGTAACTACCGCCATTCTCCGCGCATGTGAATCTTTTGTAGAAATTGAACAATTGCGACATATCGATCACCATTATTACAGCCTTGAATTTGCGAAAACTTTTCTTAGTTAAGTCGCTCTCGTATATCAACTCGTCGGGGACGAAAGTCGCCATTGTTCGAGTGCACGTGTCGTGTCGATGAGTGTTCAACACCTAATTATTTTCTCGAATTAATCCAATTTTTTCCCTTCCCTTCTTCCAAAAAAAAAAAAAAAAGAAAAGAAAGAAAAGGAAATATATAAAACTACGCAAAGATGATTGAAAAAAAAAAAAGATTAACCTCTCGCAAGTTGGTGATCTCCTTTTTGTATATCGGCCCGACCAGATCTGGGGTCCACACGGTTTTCAACACCTCGTACGGCATTGTACTCTATTATTTATCCTTTAAACGAAATATAAATAAGTTCAAGATTCTTTTCAATAAGATTACTTATATTTTAATATTTCAATATTTATTTGGCCACATCCGGAACAAAAAAATTCCAACGATTCGATTAGCATTTGTTTCGACACGATACCGACACGAGCTTGATCGTATATCGAATGCTTCACCTGAAAAATGAAAAAAGTTAAACGAAAACTTAAACGCCCATTGTATTGTGGAATCAAGGTTTTTGAGATAGGAAACGAAGATAGGAAAGTAAATGAAAAAACGTAAATATTGCAGAAATAAATTTTTGTATTTTGCGTATTACATATAGTAAAGAGGGATGTTGAAACATCATTTTGCTTGCAATTATGCATCGCGCAAGTCAATAATAATATATATGTAATTTCGTCAGTTCGCTCGTGATCGTGAACGCAAAAAACGTAGATAATAAAATCTATCTATCTATCTGTATACCTTCATAACTTCGAAACGTGGTTTTCGAGAATTTATTTATTTAGAAAAAAGAAGAAGAAGAAGAAGAAGAAAAGGAAAGAAGTGAACGAACGGCCGGGTATAAAAAAAAAAAAAAGAACACAAGTGTTCAAATTCATTCAATGCAATGTATTGTGGAACAATTATTAACCAGCCCTTATATGATAACAAACAAACCCAACATTCACAAACCCCTTTACATCGTGATGTAACGCGTACGCATAAATTGTTTACAATATTAATCATGGACATACATCTCTTTTTACATATGTAAGAATCAAATAAACATAAGAGGAGGACCAAGAATTGTTGGCCCCTATCCTATTATATATCACATACGTCCGTCCCAATAATCGATTAAAAGCCAGGTTATCGATATTACGCAGTAATGGTAAACGGGATATAACAATGTGTACAATTCGATAGATTTTTTTTTTTTTTTATATTTTATAACAATAGAATTGATCGCCCGCCTGCAAATTGCATTGTTAAAAATATAAAAATCTATGGAATCGTTCCACGTGTTTATCGTGTTACCGCTGCAAAGTCATGGCGATGTCCTACGCTGTGAAAATGTACATACACACGAGATATCGATTGGGAGGAATGATCTGTAATTCAGGACAGAATTCTTCGGTTTCTCTCGTATACTCTCCAGTCTTTTTCCCTTCCTCAAAAAAAAAAAATTCCTATCTCCTTGCGGCGAAATCGAAACTATTTGTCGAATTCAGCTTGACAACAATCGTTCCATCACCGCATCCTTCTCAAAAATCAACTATTACAAATCACATTGAGTGGAATTTTTCACTTTTTTTTTTTTGCAAAAATACAGAATTATATTATATATTATTATATAAATCTTTTGCAGTTTTTTTTTCTTTTTTTTCTTTTTTTCTTTCTTTCTTTCTTTTGTGTGTGCGCGCGCGCGCGCGCGCGCGTGTGAAAAATTATTCGTTACTCTCTTGCGCGAGAATCAATGAGTCTTCCTTCGATCGATTCGAAATTTATCGCATATCTTTTCACGGATCTCTCTCGTTGGTAAAAAGAGAATTGAAAACTCAAAATTGTTAAATCGAATAAAGAGTTCTCGTGGTTAACGTTAAAACAAAACATTGTTAAGAAGAAATAACGTAACGTCATTGAATATAAGAACGTAAAAAAAAAAGAAAAAAAACAAAAAGAATCGAGTTGATTTTAATTGAGCGTCCAAATTTTCGATTGGATAAAAGAAAAAAAGAAAAAAACATAAAAACGAAAATGTCGCAGTCTATTTTAACGTTAGCCACCTCTCGTCAATGTTAATTTTGAACCAAGAAAAAAAAAAAAGAAGAAGAAGAAACATAAAATCGACATCGAAGTGTATAAAATGAAAACGTAAAACACATCTCCGGAAGAAGAAAGAAGGGGAAAAAAAAAAAAAAACAAAATAAAAAATTAATTAATCTCGTCAATTCGAAGAAGACCTATCTATATATATATATAGAACATTTCGAACGTTTTCGATAATTTGAACCGAAGAACTTTCGTTTCGTTCGGGTTTTCGAAAGTATTTCAATATCGATCAACGAAGAAAAGAAAAGAAAAAAAAAGGAAAAGAATTGTATGAAAAGATCAAGTATTATGTTCGTTTCATTAAATTTCGAGATTGCATTACAGTTTGCCGTGATGATTAGTCAAATTGCACATTGTTACTACCGAAAGGAGTCATTCGGTATGTATTGACTAGAATCAAGGAATTATTTTATTTTTTTTTTTATTGTAATTATAATCGATCGTCACGGTAATCTGTAAAATCTCGTTACGTTTTGGTCGGATGATATTAACATCAACTTTTTAATTGACATTTAACATGGAATCAGAGCGATTGAGCATTTTACTACAACTTCATCCATCTATATTTCCATCGATATTCGAATCGATAGGAATACATTTGCTGGGAGAACAAGAATCCTCGAAAGTAAAATAAAATTTTAAGAACTTTTCGAGCTGAGTAATATAACGAGTAATATATAGAAAAAATTTTATAAAAAACATTGGAAAAATATTTTATTTTCTTGTGCGTAATATTACTCAGCTCTTGATCAGTTAGACGATTGAAAATTTTCATTCTCATTCCAGCAAATCTTGTATCGATCGGATATCAATTTTTCCAAGGATTTTTTTTTTTTTTTCGATATATCCGCGAGATAAAGTTATTTTCGTTTCTGCGAAAATATATATATATATAATGTAATATCGTGTTTATATATATATATGTATGTATATATATATAAATATAATCTCTCTATATGAGTTTATATAGAAAATTTCTGTACACGCGTTGATATATTTTCGATTACAATCCACGCGTATTAAAAAAGAGGTATGAGCATTTTTTAAAGTGAACGACAGCCATAGAGACGATCCTCGATTTGAATTCGAAAGAATTCAACAAATTCCCTCCCCCCTCTCCTTTCTTCCCGTGATCAACTCGTATCGCTTAAGAAGTTAAAAAAAAAAAAAAAAAAAGAATGGCGAGACATATAGTCGAGCGACGCCACTCTTGAAACTCGAAAACTTCTCACCTTGGTAACAAAAATACCCAATTCTTTTGAAGACAAACCGTTAACTCGTTCGACGTTCGATGATCAATGATTCGTCTCAAAGATCTCCAAAGTATATATATATATACATATATACTTGCTTGCGAAATCTAATCGCAAGTTAAAGTTAAATCTAGGAATGTTTCGACCTGGCAATATGGAGGAAAAAAGACACCTTGTCGTTACATTGATGGCCGCACATGTTGCACGTATAAGGATCCTGGAAGCCGTGATAGCCCATGTGAACGGTGTACATGATCACGTTTCCGAAAACGATCTCGCAGAAATGGCAGGTGAGCTCGTGGTTTATCGCGAAGTTGCGCTCGGCTTCGTCCTTCCCCTCGCCGGAACTCGGGCTGCTCGAGGACGAAGATTCGAAGGATCCGTCCGATTCCATGGATGCGCGATGCTGTAGTTGATGTTGCTGCAATTGTTGCAATTGCAGTTGCTGCAATTGCTGCAGTTGTTGCTGGAATTGCAGCAACTGGTGTTGTTGCGGTTGCGTCTGTGAATACAACTGTTCCACCAAGTGTTGCCATTGCTGCTGCTGTTGTTGCTGCTGCTGCAACTGCTGTTGTTGCTGCTGCTGGTGCTGGTGTTGATGGTTGTATTGCTGTTGGGACGAGTGGGGTTGCTCGTCATCCGTGTCCTCCTCGAGCACTCTCCGCTCCAACTTCACCGCCTTTCCCTTTCGTCTGCTGGTGCCGGTTAACTTGGGCGAGTTACCGCCCGGTTTCCCGATTTCGGAGCAACCGTTAATCGAGGTATCATGCTTGCTGAGATCCAAAGGCGCGACTCGTGTATCCGCGTACACCTGATCCATTGGATTCGGTTCCATGGACACCTCGGTCATGCTCGATGCCCCGCTATCGGACGTCCCGTTCACACCGTTCGATCCCTCGTTCCCATTGCCGCATCTGACGACAAGATCCTGGGCCGCCTCGCCCGACATCCTCTCTTCGTCTATCGCCCTCAAGTAATCCATCAACGTGTTCGCCTTTATCCGATCGAAATGATTCTCGCCACCGTTATCCTCCGACGCGGTGGACAATTGCGAGAGGGCGAAACCGGTGAACAATTGATTGTACGGATACGTGATCACCGCCTGGTTATGCGTGATCCCGCTCGATGTGCTCGCGATAGCCGTGTTGCTGCCGCTCGTCCCGTTGTTCATCGCGCACAACGACAGATTGACGTTGGACGGCGTGGGAGACATTTGCGGCGGCGCCACTTGTTGAGGTGAAGCGATCTGGCCACCGTTGGTCGCCGCGGTGGCGTTGTTGTTCTGATGATTGTTGATCTCCTCGTGGGTAGCGTTGTTGGCCGGCTTGTTGTTGGCCGGCTTCTGTTTAGGGCCCCTCCGTGTCCCATAAACATCGATAATGGGCAGAGGATTCGGCGAGCCGTCCGCGTTCAACACCATAGCCGGTTGATGCGAGTATTTTCTCAGATGAAGTTTCAACGAGTGGCAATATTTAGTTGCGTAAGTACAGTTGGCGCATCTGTATTGATAAACGTTCGAATGCGACTTGAGATGGCTGTTCAGCATGGATTTGTTCACGCACGAGTACGAGCATTTCTCGCATTTGAACGGTTTCGAGCCGAAATGATTTCTCAAGTGATATTCCAAATGGTGCTTGTACTCGGTCACGAAAGGGCACTTGGGGCATGTCAACAGCTTTTCCGCCTTTATGTGGTTACGGCTGTGATCCCAAAACTCGAGCTTCGTGATCGCGACGAAGTTGCACTGCTTGCATCTGAACGTTTTCACTTTACCCTGGGAATTCAACCGGGGAATCCGAAGCCCCGGCTCGTCCGCCTCCTCCGACTCTTGCTCCGAGGAACGTTCCCCCTGATCGTTCGGCGACAATCTGCTACTCTCATCCTGGACCACGCTCGCCTGATGATTGTTCGCCGATTGCGAGATGTCCGGCGAATCGTAATCCGACGTGCTCCCGTCTTGTTGTGGAAACTTCATCCTGCGAACCGATATAATATCTTTCTCTGTTTCTATCCCGTGGAAAATAATAAAATAATATAAACGAAATTGTCGTTCCCTTCGATCTCCTTTCGATCGATCGAAATCTGGTATTATACAAAGCGAGAGAAAAAAAAGGAAAGAGAGAGAGAGAGGAAAAAGAAGGGAAAAAATTCAAAAAGGCGTGGCGTCGATAACGCGACTCGATAATTTGTTATTTACTTTTGGTAAACAGAGCGACACAAGGTGAAAAGAGGGAAACGACGAGGCCATGCCGCGGAGCCATACACGTGGCAAATCGGCAAGAACGGCAACAAACCATTGTTAGAGACCCATCCCCCCTCTCCATTCGCCAACCACGCCCGCTTCGGGTATCGCCGATAGGATCGTGGTGAGTAATCGTTTCAACCCCTCTCTCCCATCGAATCTTCTTCCCCTTTCTTTCTTTTCCCCCTTTAACCTATTCCACCCCCTCCCTCCTCTCTCTCTCTCACGTTTTTTTTCTCTCTCTCCATCCCCCTATCTTCCCCTCTCGCTTTTCCTTCCCCTTCCGCGGTCGACAAAATGTCGTTTCGCTCAAGTTCACGATGGACCCGGTCAACTTTTTTCCCCCCCTCCTTTACTCACTCGCAACTTTTCGATCAATCCTAATTTTCGATCGATCGATCAGAAATCACATATTACGTAACGCGCGACTTCTTATTTGGATTATCACGGATAATACTTGGAATCTCTGCTGATGTGTTAACTTAATTCGAGCAGATTTTGCTCGCGTTAGGGAGAATAAAAAAAAAAGGATCGAATTTTTCGAATTATCGATGGACATAATAAGAGAGGATGTAAAAACGGGAGGGAAAGAATTTGAATGGAAGGTGAAGAAGAAGGAAAAAAGTGTGGAAAGGGGAATTGAATCGATCCCGATACAATGTGGGCAGGAAGGAAGGGTTAGGATTCGCGACAATTGTACGAATTTTCGCGAAGAAAAGGTACAGGCCGCGGTCCCGTTCCTATTCCAAACCGAGCAAATTTCCGAGTAAAATCATTTCACAATGTTTGCCTGTTGTCCCCGTCGTCCTTTACTCTCGAACGCGCAACGACGAACGAATCTTTCTTAGGCGTGTAAGAACAGTTCGGCTAATTTATTCGAAGCGAGACAACAAATGGTAAAATTTGTTTCGATTCGAGAACAATACGAGTGCCATTGAACGATTCCGTGTATCATCGTTCGATTTACATACTCTTAGTTCCTCTTAGTTTTTGCCGATCGATTTCGACTTTCGAGATCCTATTACATTTTCCTATTAAATTAATCGAGATTTTCTTTAACTTTTTTTCCTTTTTCCTCTACTCCCCCTCCCTTTTTTTTTTGTTTTTTGATTTATATCAAAAAAAAAAAAACAGAGTTTACTCGGATTCACGGAAGGAGGGAAAAATCTCGTAACTTAAGACCAACGATTGGCTAATGAACATGCAAGAAAATTTACTGTTCGTTCGGGGCCGTCAAGGCCAAGCGTCACTAGGGTTAAAAGTTTCTAGCTTCATTTATTCAAGTGGAGCACGGTTGAAAGACTTAGAGTGACCAGAGACGACCGGGTTGGAGGATTTCGCTTTTGACTTCTTGACCAGAAAATCTCATTGTCCGTTTACCCCGTGCCAACAGTGGTCATAAATAAAATTTCAAATACAATTCTTTCATCCGGCTGACTGCTCTGCCCGGCCAAACCAGGGATCGGGATGAAAACAAAACAACCCTTGTAACAGCGAGAATTTTTAGGCACCTAGAGCTTTAAGAAATTAGTATGCAAAGTTTTTAACACGAAGCATAAATTCTTTTTAGGGGGCGTAAATCATCCATCATTGTTGCGAGGAGCTCGAACAATTTGTGCGCGACCATCTTTCCATCTGTGTGCGCGAAATTCTTTCAACGACGCGCAAACGCTCACGAGTCGATTAAAGCAGACTCTTTCCTGCTCGAATAAAGGGGAAAAAAAAGGCTTTGGCAAAGGTCGAAGGAAGAACCTTTCGAAATTCCGAGCACGATCACAACAATAAATAGAAAACCTATGGCGAAGGGACGGAACAGATACGCGGAAGATTCGCGAATATAGGCCGTGTCATGGGTGATGAGAAAACGATATAATTCTTCAAAATGGATAATTATTACGATCAAAGTTACAAAATCCCATGATAACACGTGTGGAATTGTACAAAAAAATTAGCTGATTTAATGGTACATTAATTGGATTGGACAATTTAAAGCCGCCGACAATCGATACGCAAAAATTCGCAAAGATTTTTGCAAAATTAATCACGGATCCGTCGAGAAAATTGTATAATTATCACGATGAGAATTTAAAAATCCGATGATAAGACGCGTGGAATTGTATCAAAAAAATTAGCTGATTTAATGGTACATTAATTGGAGCAATTTAAAGCTCCGGTAATCGATACGAAAATATTCGCAAAGATTTTTGCAAACTAAATCACGGATCCGTCGAGAAAACGATCAATATATGGATAATTATTACGATGAAAGTTAAAAATCCGACGATAAGATGCGTGGAATTGTACGAAAAAAAAAAAAAATTATCCGATAAATTTAATATAATTGGAACGATTTAAATCGGGAATACGCAAAGATTCGCAAAGATTTTTGCAAAATTAAAATTGTGAAATCTCGATGTAGATATATCCGTGAAAGGGGATTAAAACCACGAATGTGTACGAAAAAATAACCTATACGGAATATAATCGCTTTAAATCGTGAAAATGTTTATTTTGAATAATTTGAGGCTTTTATCTTCTCGTATCTGTACAACGAATACGAATCGTATTAGAACGGTGTAAATTTTAGACAGATTTGCTGTTATTACGAGGCGATATTACGAGTAAAGGCGAAAATTTCATTTCGCGGGCGACGTTATGGCGATTGCGAAAACGATGGCAGGCAGGCCGATTTCCCCCGCGGTTCCCCCGCGTTTTTTCCTCTTCTTTTTTCTTTTTTTTTTTTCGATTAAAAAAGAAAAAACGAAAAAAGAAAAAGACAAGTAAAGGAACAAAAGGAGGGGGAAGTAACAAATAAGAAGAAAGAAAGATTTGCGACCAAATTCACGAGAAACGATCTAACGTTGTTTTTCCGATATCCTTGTTGCTCACGACATGTTGAATTTTCTCCGTGTTTGTTTCCACCGATCCCGATACACGATGTTATTGCTGTATATCGACACTTTTCGAAACACGCAAACTAAACAACGGCTAATTTCGTCGCGTATTGGTATTACCTCTGATACAATGAATATCGATGATTCCCGGAAAAGGCTTCGAAAGAAACTCAAAACCGTGGTCGTTACGAATCTAATACATTCGACGCGTGCACGCACACGCTGGAAATTGAACGTTTTATTTTATCGTGTGTAAAAACAAACGAGAAGCGTAAAAAATGCATGATCGAACGTAAAACGATCGAAGAAGACGCGTAAAAAGAAGGGAAGCACGATCCAATCCGCGATCGGCAATCGTTCTCCCTCCCAAAAATAGCGAAAAATTACCGGCCGGCCGTTTTAAACGCCTCGCCTCGTCCTAATTATCTCGTCGATCGTCGACGAGATAAATTCACCACGCGTCGGAGCCAGATTTACGATTTACGCTTCATCAACGTTCACGTTTCATTCACGTTTCTAAATAAAGGAGAATGATAACGAGAAAGGAGGACAAACCTTGAAGGCGGTCCCCTCGGTTTCCTCCAGTTTACTCCAATTATTGCCGGAGACCTCGTGTCGATCCACGGTTTCGCGCACACTGACAACACACACTAACCAACTTGCGGCAACCTCTCTCTCTCTCGATCGCACCTCTCGTACACGGTTACGTTTACGTACGTACGATAACGAACGAGAAAGAAAGAGAGAGAGGGACGAAATGAAATTAATATCGTACGTACACAAGGAGAATATACGACGATGTATAACCGAAAAGAGAACACTAATCCTGGCCTCGAGTTCCATACGAATGCTCGAGGTCGACTGAGGATGTCCTAAGACCCAAAATGGAATACCGGCTTATTTGTGGATCGTGCCGAGAGGGCAGTTACCCTCTCCCTTCAACCGTGCCCGCTTGTCCAATCACGGCCGGCCTATCGTTTCGATTCATCACACTAGTTTTTCAATACCCCACCCTTAAACTGTCCCACCACTCTCGCGAATTCCGCATACTTTTTGCACATACTTCCTCCCCGTCCTAACTTCCGTCTTCACCCCCCACAAGTTTTTACCAATTGTCTTTGATGTTTTCCCAAAAAAAAAAAAAAAAAATTACCATAGCATCTCTCGATTTTGCAATTGTTTCCTCTTACACTCTTCGCGGATATACACGCGGATTCTTTTTATTACGCTCGCTGATTTTTTTTCTTTTTTTTCTTTTTTTAACTATTTTATGTTGTTTAATTTTTTTTTTTTATTATATATTTTATTATACTTTTCGTATATTAATTTTAGAGAATTTTCGAATATATAACATATATATTCCTCGAACGTGTTTGAGGAGCAAACAAATTCTTTTTTTTTTGTAGAGAGAGAGAGAGAGAGATCACGTACCATTAATTAGCATGGATGATTTCAAGCAGAGGGGAAAGAAACGAAAAATGTGTCGATACACGTGCTCGCTCTTTTCTTTTTTCCCCTGTCGAGGGCAGTCTGCTTTCTTTCCCTCCCCGAGACAGATCGCACCCTTTCTCGCGTCCCCGAGATGTCTGACGAAGAAGAAGAAGACATCTTAGAAAAACCATTAACCGAATTCTATGATTCTAGCTTCGAAATATTGTCGAAAATAGTACTTTTCAAGTTTCTCTCTCTCTCTCTCCTTTCGAGTGTTACCACACTTTTCTCGGTGAAAGAAATATGAAAGAATGGGAAATATGGGAAAGCTGAGTTCACAAAAGTTCAAATAAAACTGTAAAGATTCAATGATTCTCAATATTTTACCGGAGGAGAAGAAACGACATGCAAAGCGTGTCTTTCAAGGATTGTCAAGGTCGGTTGTCTTTAAAACAGGTACACAGGCTTCCAAACGGCATAAATCGTCGTTTAACCCTTTCGAAAAGTTGGGTGGGAAAAAATCTTGGAGGCTTGTAAAGGCTTTATCAAAAAATCCCGTTCAACCCTTTCCTTCTAATCTGCTTTCCTGCGACGAACGGAAACTATCCCCACCTTTACGACGCTTTTACAGTTACTCTCTTCGTGAGGTGAGAAAAAAGTTGGGGATGCCGTGCGCATCTCTAACTGTCCTAAACTTTTTTTTCTTCTCCACCTTGGAGAAGGAAGAGAAAGAGGAAGAGGAAGAGGAGGAGAAAACCCTTCGACTTTGTTTTTCCAATCCAGAAAAAAGACTATTTTTCGTTTGTAAACTCAAAATCCGTTCGAGGATTTTTATGTTCGGATAATAATATTTAGCGTGGCAAGAAATCGGCGAGAAAAATGGGGGGAAAAAATTTGAGAAAAAAATCGAAATCGTTCCATCCCGTTTATTTGCGATCCAGATTTTTAAGGAAAGCATTCTATCTCTTCTGTCTCCAGAGATATTTGCAAAGAAATTAAATATAAATCTCGATAAATAATTTAAATATTTTTATCCGTTAAAGATTTGAAAAAATATCTTTGCAACGGGATTTTCTTATTGTTTCTTTTTCGGCTCGTTTTCTAACTTTGCTGTAAATAATGACAAATTCGCTTGGACGAGGTAATAAATAATAGGATTATCCTATAATACGTATTTTGTTCGAAGCCTTAAACAATTGGCATACGGAATAATCTGTCCGCGGATTTGCTCTAGATTCGAGCTTTCGTTCTTCTGTAAGGATAACCCTTTTCTTTCTTTCTTTCTTTTTTTTTTTTAATCTTAATTTACGATATTGTTAAAAAAAGAAAAGAACAAAAATACATTTGAAAGAGGTAATAAGACGATGCAGGAATGTAAGCAAATTTTAAAAATTTTTTACGAGTTTGCTTACTCATAGTTAATAAATAAATATTGCTGTGAAAAAAAAGAAGAAAAATACTTGAATTTGTTATTCGATTACGCGATTATAATTTAAGAAATTATAATTATGCCTTTGAACGAGCGAGAAAAGGAGCACAAATTTATGAAAAATAAAGAGCAAGAAACATTAATAATAATAACAATAAAACTCTAAATGTTCTTCTGAAGCACAAAAGATCTTCGGGTCTTTCAGCTTGCACATGCTCCTGAAAAGTGTCATTATTTTTATTGTATAGATCTGTATTATTCGAGGAATAGTCTAATTGGATTTAAAATTTACAAAATTGAAAAAACCGCAATAGTTAACGAGAAAGTATTAAACTATTAGACTGACTATTTCACTGTTTGACAGATATTGATATATAATTGTATATTGTAATATAAAGAAGTAAAGTAAACAGAAGAAATAATATGGTATGAAGAATTCTAATTATCGTAATAATTTTTTTTTTTCTCGAATTTAACCTGTTATATATATATACTTTTCTCCGTGGAAAAAGAATACATTTCCTTTTTTTATCATTTTTATAATTTTTTTTTTTTTTTTTTTTTTTTACAATTCAAAATTTATTTCTCTTCTTTTCGAAGAAGAAAAAAACACTTTACTACGATTCAATAGGAATAAAAAAATTTAAAAAATCCTGTTATTTCGAACGATCGAAAAAATTACACCAATTGTTGTATTTTTTTTTTTTTTGCAGATTACCAGGCCATTGTTTTCGAAAGTTTTATACCAGTTTTCGAAAATTTTTTATTGTCGTCAAGTTTTTATTGTCGTTCTTTTATCCCAAATTACTGTTACTTTTATTAATAGAGTTAAAGTTCGAAAAACTTTCTTTCTCGAACTTTTTTCTTCTTTCCCCATCTTCTTAATTTCCTACTACTTAGATTTCCCCGATATCCTACCACCGTTCACGAAACTCCCCCTCCCTCCCACACACACACACACGGTTTTTCATTAATTTGCGAGGTTTTTTTTATCATGTAAAAAAACGTAATGAGAAATGATACTTTATATTTTTTAATCGTAATCGCGAAAAATCAATCGCAACGAATTGCTCGGAGGAGAAAAAATGTTAAAATTTAAATAAACAAAATGAGAAAATTTTTCTCTTTCTCAGGAAAATGTAACAAATCAAACAAATTCGAATCAAAGTGATAAATTTGCTCCTTGCTGTTCATTGTCCCAAAATTCTCTTTCCATAAAACTCTTTGGTTTTTTTCCACACACTTTCTTTTCTTTTCTTATAATAAAATTCTCACCATGAAAATTCAACCTTCCATTACAAAATTCCAAGAATTGAGTAATACAATATATGACTGAGAGAAAAATTACTTTCAAAATGGACTTTATACGCCTCCTGTTATCGTATAAACGAATCAATCCTTCTCGTGCAATTGTGTTTTTCCTACAAATAACCATAGACATGAAAACCTGTTTCCGTATGTCGGTTTTATTTCCGTATTTATTTCTTTATTGTTTATTCTTATTTTTCCTTCGCTACCGATCATTGTAAAAACTTTGCAAATTTTTTTCAAGTTAATTACGGTTATTTTTGGGCAAGGATTATAAAAGGTATTGTAAAAGAAGAGAGTCCTTCAAAAATATTCCTAATAAAAACAGTATTGGCCACAAAACGTTAAGGCAGTAAAACGATTCACTCGCGTCCCTATTTTTACAGATTAAGATACCTGTCCCCGTTATTAAGTCCAGTCTATTAGCTTTTGAATTTTTACGAATCTCTGTCTCGAACGAATCTCGACAAAAAAAACTGGAAAACTTTTCACTTCGCGCAAAAAAGGGAAAAAAAACTCGATCGGCGGAGGAAAAATAATGCGCGCATCCCCTTACCTGAGCGTGGGTGTGTCGAGGCTCGTTTAAACAGCTGCTCCATAACCCCTTTCGCACCCCTCCCCCTCGACTCTCGAAATTTTGCCAGAAAAATATTTTCCCGTTCCGCCCCGCACAGCAGCCGCACGATAAATAGCAGTTGCACGTCCCCTCCCTCCCGCCTAGAAAATCGTTCTTCTTCTCTCTCGCGTCCGAAATGAAAGTGACACGTCGTTCCTTCTCCGAACGAGCGGTTAAATTAAAAAAAAAAAAAAAAAAAGAAAAGAAAGAAAGAAATTGGCCGAAAACGTGTGGGGAAATGTTTTCCCCAAAAAATAATCGCGATAATAATTAAAAAGGTGGAACGCGAGGAATGTTAACAAGGGGGCAACAATTTTAACGAGCATTATTTAAGTAAATGGGCGGTATGGAAAATTCATAACGAGCGTTTTATCACGATTTCTAACCGCGATTTCTTCCACTCTCCTTTTTTTTTTTCCAAGGGGCGCTGCTCTTGACTCATGCCATTTATTTTTTTCCTTTTTTCTTTTTATCGCTTGACCCCTGGTTCCTTCTTTTCGTTATCGTTATATTTCGGATCTCGTATCGAAGCATTTTGCGCGTTCGCAAACAGTCGTGGCCGTCGTTGTTTATTCGACGATCAGGGAGCGAAGGATATTTTTTTTCCTTCGTTCGCGCGAAGAAACCGATCGTTACCGACGCTTGATTGTTCGGTTATTATTACGGAGGGCCCGACTCAAAAATGGCCATTATTTTTAAAGGCGCAAGGTGTTTTTTTCTCTCTCTCACTCTCTCTCTCTCTCTCTCAAGGTAGGTCTCCCGTCCACGTGGCTCATCATCGTGGTTATTTTTCCGTTTTAGGACGAGCCGTAAACGGAATGAACCATGGCAATTTCAGATACCTAGAGACAATGGTTATTTGTTATCGTATATTTGAACGTTTGCCTGTTTGACGAACGTCGAAAAATAAAGGAGAGGAGTCATCGGTCCGTGTTTTTTGAGGAGAAGAATCCGATGGAAAATCTGATTCGAAAGAGTGAGATAG